AAGAATATTCTTTTCTCCTCCTACTTTATTTAATCCATAAGCCATAGCAGCTGCTGTTGGTTCATTTAATATTCTTAATACATTTAATCCTGCAATTTTACCTGCATCTTTAGTTGCTTGTCTTTGTGCATCGTTGAAATATGCTGGAACAGTAATTACAGCATGTTTAACTTCTTTTCCAAGATATGTAGAAGCAGTATCTGCCATTTTCTTAATAACCATAGCACTAATTTCTTCTGGTGAATATTCTTTTCTTTCTCCTTTATACTTAACTTCAATAAATGGTTTATTGTTCTTATTAATAATTTTGTATGGGAATAATTTCAAATCTCTTTGAACTTCTTTGTCATCAAATGTTCTTCCAATAAGTCTTTTGATTTCAAAGATTGTATTTTCTGGGTTTTGTGCAATTTGATTCTTTGCTGCTTCACCAACTAAAATTTCGGTGTCTGTAAATGCAACTACTGATGGTGTAATTCTATTACCTTGGTCATTGACAATAATTTCTACTCCTTTACCTTCTCCATTGTAAATACCAACAGCAGAGAAAGTAGTACCAAGATCGATACCTATAACTGGTCCGTCGACTTTGTCTTCTTGTTTAGTGTCTTCTGAAAAGACAGTAAGACAGAATAATAATGTGAATAAGAAAGTTAACATTCTGTTTCATCCAGTTCTTTCGTTTAGTTTATATATTTCTTTCCACGTGGTGATTTCTGGGACTAAAAATATAAAATGTTACTTATATCCACTTTGTTTACCAGGTTTTTTTTGTTAGAATAGAAAAATGAATACGTGGTGTTTCAGAAGATACAATCTGAAAGAGGTTCTGTTACAACAAAAAATGTTATTTGAAAGAGGATAATGTGATTCGTCTTAAAAAGACTGAATAAAAAAATAAAAAAATAAAAAATGAGATTATAATGGAAGAAAAACTTGTGAGAACACATGATACTCATATCTCAAAGGAAATTGCAAACAAAATTCAACAAACAGGAACATTATCACTAATCAAGAAACCTGAAATTCTTCCAACAAAAGAATATATAAAATATACTCCTATTCAAAGAGGAAAAAATCCTCCTGAACAAAGAATAATTGAAATTGTTGATGAAAAAGTCGATCCTTTAGACGTTCCTAAGTTTAGGTACAAGAAAGTTGCACCAAGACAAGTTAGTGAACCAGTCCCTATCCTTCATGACCCACCTAAAAAATTAACAAAACAACAAATGGATGAGTTTAATATTCCTCCATGTATCTCAAATTGGAAAAATAACCGAGGATATACTATTTCTTTGGATAAGCGTGTGGCTGTTGATAGAAGAAATCTCCAAAAAGATGAAATTAATGAACGTCATGCTGAATTTGCTGAAGCTCTTTATCTTGCTGAAAAAGCAGCACAAGAAGAAAATGAAAAGAAAAATGAAATGAAGAAGAGAATTGAAATGGCAAAGAAAGAAAGAAATGAAGAAGAAATGAGACAACTTGCTTTGGCTATGAGAAAATTAAGAGATGAAGAAGAAGATGACCAATTTGATGAACAAAAAGAAAAAAGGGAGAGAGCTCGAGATGAAAGAAGAAGAGAAAGAGAAGAGTTTTATAGAAAAGCTGGGCTTAAAGGACTTGAAAAAGAAATGGAAAGAGAAAAAAGAAGAGATGTCACAGAGTCAATTGCTTTGGGTAAAAAGATTGATTCTAAAGATTTAATGTTTGATCAAAGACTATTTAATCAAGGAGATGGATTAAATTCTGGTTTTGGAGAAGAAGATGAATATAACGTGTATGATGAAGTTCTTTTTAAAGCAGCTCCAAACCAACAATATAAGCCAAAAGAATTAACAGATGAATAACAAAAATTATTATTTGATTGTTTTGTGTTTTTTCATGTATTAAATTTCTTAATTTTAAAATTAAATGAAAGAATTATCCTAAATTAGTTGTAAAATAGATAATAAATAAGAATGTTAATTTATTATTTTTAATGATGCAATGAAATGACCAATTTGTTTGTATTTTGTTATAAAGTTACTTCTATTTGATAAGACTTATACCAGTATTTAAATTTAATATTACTTTTATTTTTTTCTTTCTTCTTAGTTCATATCTCTCTTTACTCCTTCCTCCAATTCTTCTTACTGATGTTTTTTCCTTCTTGTTTCAGTTATTTTTCTATTCAAGTATCATTTTTATTAATGCCTTTTGATAAGTGGTTGAATGTAGTCATTTTTTTTTGTATCAATTTAATCAAATAAATAATTGAATAGTATTGTTGACACATTACCTGTGCTCTTACAGTTTATTTAACGTTTATATTTTCTTTATATAATAACTGAAAATTTTGTAAATAAACCTTTCATTTATGTTCCAAATTACTAATTTATTTATGCTGTTCTGGCTTACTTTTGTTAATCTTTTATAATTTATTATTTTCTTTATTTTTATAACCAAATAATGAATTAGATTCATTACAAGAATATGAACTTCTCAAAATAAATAATAGATAATCAGCATATACCAAAAAAATAATAATACAGAACAAGAATAATTGAAAATATTTTTTTACCTTTATTCATATTAATAAAATAATATTATCATAACTATCATTATATTAAATGTACTTATTTTCAAGTTAGTTACTATTAAATAAATAGAATTTACAAATGTCACAACTTGAAAAAATATAAATAATATCAAAAATTAGAATAAGACTGTTAAAAACAATGAAAATCGTTGAAGAAACGCTAGATATATATAAAAAACAAAAAGATAAATAATTAAATCAATATAATTTAAGTTTATTCATTTAAATAGTGAAACATATAATTAGTATTACTATGCTATAATTTATACCATTAAACAGATAATAAAATAAATAATAAGTAGTCGATATTGATATAAAAATAATAATTATTGTTTATTTTGATTTAAGATGTTATGAAATTATTATGAAAAGATATGAAATTAATGAATAAAATAAATATATGAGAAATATGTCATAAAATATGAAATAATATAATATTTACATTATTATATTTGTATCAACACAATAATATACTATCATGTATTAATTATTATAATTGTTGAATTTATAAATAACTTCAGATAATATATAATAATTAATAACTATTTGAATAAATAAAATACAACCAATACATATAATATCACTTCATAATTTTGAGTATTTTAAATAATATATCATAATAAACATCAATAAAAATAAAATACATCTAAAGTATTGAACTAATTTATTTAAAATAATCATAATACTCTTATAATCTATCATTTATCTTGTAATTTAAATCAAATTAACTGATACCAAATTATTTTTAATTAAAAAACAATAAATAAATAAAATTTGTAATATATAACCAATTCATTAAAATACTTATGTTATTATTCTTCATTTCTTTCTCTTTCTTTTTGGCGTCTTTTTTTATCTGACTGATATTGGAATGGATTAAATTTTTTATCTTCTACTTTAAATGCATTCTTCATATTTCTTCTAAGTTTTCTTTCTTTTGGTTTATCTAAATCAATATCATATTGGTCTAATTTACTGATATGAGTTTCTTTTTCTTTATCAATAGCACCAACCTTATTTCTTAAAACGTTCTTTCTTATTTCTTCAGTCTCATCATCCCATCCTTCAACACGTTCACTATAATTTAAACCAAATGGAATTTTTCTTAAATCAAATGTTTCAATACCTTTTCTTTCTTTGATCGGTTTTCCAGTAATGTCTAATTTCTTTTGTTGCTTTACATCTTTTTTACGGATAGTGATCATTGGAATTGGATTATTTTCTACTTGTTTCTCTTTAAACTTTTGTTCCATTTCTTCTGAAGTAATTTTTCCACCACTTAGATCATTATTTTGAGGTTCTTCAGGTTTTCTTTTGATTGGTTGATATTTTTGATTGATGAGTTGATGAATTGATTTAATTCTTGAAGACTTGAATATGTTACTGATAAAAACAGTTTCTTCTTTTATTTCAGTTAGTTTATCATTTTGTTCATTTTCTTTCATAACAATAGTACTCAATTTTTCTAAGTTATTATTTTCAATTGCTCCTCTTTTTATTTCTTTTGGTGTACTAACTTTCTCTTCTGATTTAGAATAGAATAGCATGTAAGCCTCTTCTTGTAAAACTGCTTTAATTGAAACAGGTTTAACTTCATCATCATCAAATCTAAACCAACCTCCACTTGGTGTTTTACAATAAGAAATATAATGACCACTAAATTTTGTTTTTCCTAAATGAACCACAATTGCATAAAGATCATATAACCCATCCATTCCATATTTTGAAATATTAAGTTGCAAAGGAAAAGCTACTTTTCCATTAATTTTCTTTTCATCCCAAGTAAATCTTTTTAGTTGAATTGGTAATATCCAAGGTAATCTTTTAAAGAAATAATATTTACTAACATTTGATTTTGTATTACACTTTTCACAATGATAATGAGAAATCATTTCTTTTTTAAAGAATTGATCAAATCCACTTTCAAGTGTTTTTTGTTTTGTTATTTCAATTGGTAAAACAGAAAAATGTTCATCATGATCATTAAATCTTGTACAATTATAACATGTAATTCGTGAGACTAATTCAACATGAAATATACTACTAATAGCTGATATTTTATTTTTTCCTTTTCCAATTATTGCTTCATGAAGATGATCAAGTAATAATAAATAAAATTCTGTAGCATCTTCTTGTTGATATCTTTGTAATGAAGAAGATAATTTTTTCAAATTTTTTTCAAATACTATTGGTTTTAATGGTTGATTATTTTTTTCAAATGCTTCTTTCATTATGCGTTCTAATTCTTTAAAAAATATATCATCTACTTTAATCTTTTGTTGTGTCATATAATTATAAAATGGTGCTGTATGAGTTAATACTTGTAATACACTAATCATATAACAATTACTATGTGCATTAAAATATCCTCTCCCTGCATTCCTACCATTTTTTAATTTCCATTTCATTAATTCTTCAACATCATCATAATCAACATCTATCCTATTATCAATACTAATTGTTTTCTTTGCTGTTGGATTTATTGTTTCTGTTTTAATAAATTTCAGTTTTTTTGGAAGAAATTCATTAATTTGACGTTGAATTTGTTGTTCAACATCTAAAGACATTTCCTGTGTGATTTAATGAATTTTAAAAACCCTAAAACTGAACTTTTCTTCATTTAAATAATCAAAAAATAATTTATTCATTTAAAAGATATATTCCTATTATTTCTTTAAATTTATGAAAGTAAATCATTCAATAAAAATATATTATTTCACTTATCTATTACCAAGATAATATTTTTAAATAAAAAATCAATCAATTAGATGCTTTAATGCTCTTCTTCTTCCATTTTTTCTTTCATTTCTTCAGTTAATTGTTTTTGACAATCCAAATCAGTTGGCATTTTTAATAATTCTCTGAATAACATAGTGGCATAGGCAGAAGGTTCTAATTGGAACTTAATCCAAAGTCCAGTTCTATCACCACTTTGGTAATCACTTCTAAGATATCCTCTTTCATCAAGAAGGTCTTGCCCAACATTTCCATAATGAATAATCTGATACTCAACTCCTTTTGGTTGAATAACAATTTTTCTCTGATCTCCAGTTATCGCAACGTTATAAATTCTAGTTGGGAAAGTGTCGAGTGTAAACCCATCTTTAGAAAGTACTTCATCAAAGAAATTTTTTATTTCATTTTTTGGCATTGTAACTCCATGTGCAGGAAGTGGAATAATAACTTGATGCAAACAAATTGAAGGTAATAATTCCTCAGTAACAAAATCAATTGTTCCTTGTTTTGTTTCATACAAATCACCTACTAATACTACATTACCATATTTTTCAAATCTCTTAGAAACAACTTGATTCCAAACATAACTTTGATATGCATGAAGATACAATGATTTAGTTTTATAAACAACTGCATTATCAATTGCAGTTTTAAACATTCCATTACTTATACTGACTCCAAGTTTAACTTGTTTATATAATGCTTGCATGAGAGCTTTTTCAATATTTCTTTTAATTGGAATGACTTCATATGCTAACTTATATTGATGTTCTTTATAATATTTTTTTCCTTGTGCAACACTAAAAGTATCATTTCCTTCTTTCATCATTAAATCAGCAGCTTCTTGATATTCTTCTTTTAACAATGCTTTTCCAATTAAATGTGTTGTACCACAACTACCAAATCGTTGTAGTCCAAAATAGTTAATATATCCAAACTCTTTAATACTTTCACAATTTTTAAGAACTTCATCAACATTATCAATTTCTCTAATAATAACTCTAAATTCATTTCCAAGTAAATCTCCTAATTTAATCATATGGTCTACATGTTCAAATTGACTTAAAGTAATTCCATTACATATACTTTTTTTTAAATTCTCTTCAATTAATTCTTGTTTAACTCCAGGAATAGTAATATATTGGCATGTAACTCCTCTTTTGTCTTTCATTCCAGCAAAACAAATAGCATTTTTACCTAAATTCAATGCTTTTGAAATACGAAGAATAGCATCACCTGTATCAATATTAGATTTCCTTAAAACACATTTTAAAATAGAATTTTTTTCTCTTCCTCCACGCATTTTTTTTGCACCTTTTTTTAATACAAGAATTCCATTATCACATGTTGAATCATAATTTGGAAGTTCTTTAACAATCATATGAAACTCTGTTCTTTCTTTTTTATTTAATGGTTTTTTAATTTCAATTAAATTTACTTTCTCATCAAAAATTTTGGGAGCTATTTCATCTACTTCTGTTCCAATAACCGATCTCATTTTATTTATCCATTCTTCTTTATTAAACATCTCTTCTGCTTTTTCTTCTGTAATTTTTGTAACACCTCTCACATTTTCTCTATCAATAATATCTGCTACAGAATTATCTAATCCAATTTCACGTACTTGAAAATCACTCACAAGATGTTTTGTTAATCCATTAATACTTTTTCCTTTTCTAACAAAAGATGTTATACCCATATCTACCTCTTTTGGTTTTTCAATAACATTAACTATTTCTTCTTTTTCATGACTTTTACTTTGTTCTTTTCTTTTTTCTTTCATTTCTTTTTCCTCTTCTCTTTTTACATCATTTTTCTTTTCATTATTTTTTGAGTAATCTATTATTCTAACAGCAGAAAGGTCAGTTGGCTGCGTAGAAATACTTTGAACCATAGAAATTTTCTTGATTTTTTGAATTGGCTTCTGATCTCCTCTTTTCATAATAAAACATTAGATCTAACAACCCTATTTTGTTTTCTATTAAATTTCTTTTTTGAGTTTTTAAAACACACATTCTTCTATTTTTTATTGTTGTCTCTTCATCTTAATGTAATGCTTTAGAAAATTATAAATGAAGAGACACATCATATTTAAGAAAGTGTCTTATAAAAAAATAAAAACACGAAACCGATGAAGCGAAGAAATGAAGAAAAAAATCAACGGGTTGTGAAACTTGAAAATGAATTTAATGCTTCCTTTGAGGAAGTTACAAAAGATAGTGAAGAAACACGATTTGATCAACGTGCTTTAAAAATGTTAGATATTTTTCATGAAATTAAAAAACATGTTATTACAAAAGTGATAGACCATTGTATTGATTTAGGAAGAGACACATTATGTGAAAAATGGATTGGTATTGGTGCTAAGATAATTGGAAATGATAAAGACTTTATATGTAAATCTCTTACGTATTTAGAAGAAAGAGGAAAATTTACAAAAATAGGGAAATTATTTGATGATTGTGCAGAAAAATGTGATGATGAAACCATTTGTATTAAAGCAATTCAATGGTATGAAAAAATTCATGAATTTGATAAAGCACGAAAATTATTGGAAGTTAAAATAAAAGGAAAAAATGTAAATTTAGTATGGAAAATTATATTTGAAGGATTAATGTTCGAAGCTCGTGTTGGTTCTTTGAATGTAGCCCTTAATGGTATGAATGTTTTGGTTAGTAAAAAGTTAACGGGAACAGCTATTGCACCAATGTTATATGAACATGCGTTGATGTACCATAAATTATTGAACGAAAACAAATGTTATGAGTTATGTGAAAAAGGATTGTCTTCTTTTCCAAAATATATTCATTTATTAATATTATTAATACGAACTAGGAGTAGGATTACCAACTTAAGAATTAATAAAATTATTAAAAAGAATAGTTTAATTTGTTCTTCAGTTAATTCTCCTAGAAGTCCATTAACCAATGTTAGTTTTGAAAATGAAGAACAATCAGGTAATTCTCTAGAAATAATCAATAGTTTTAAAAGGAAAAAAGAAATTGAAGAAGAGGTATTAGAAAATACTATAGTAGAAGCGATTCAGGGAGTAGTATTAGAATTTAAAGCTGATTTACAAAAAATTGTAAATAAACACATTGGGAGTTTGAGTGCTGATGTTCAGTGGAAAGTTTATCTTGAAGTTGCACTGACAGCATGTGACTATGGATGGGATGATATGGCAATAGAACAATTTGAAGTTTGTTTAAAATCTTCTCCGCTTAATACAATATGGAAAAGTTATGTTTTAATGGCACGTCATTTTATGAATAAAGATATAAATAAATCATTGAAATATTTAAAAGAAGCACAACAACTTGTTGGAGAAAAACAAGTTGGAATTGTTCTAATGGAAAAAGCACATATTGAAGAGGTTATTAAAGATGAAAATAACGCAGTTAAAAAAGCATATGAAATTATAGATGTAATTGATGATTGGAAATATTCTATTGAAGCCATTATGATTCTTGTTCGCTGTAATAAGGTTAAACAAGGATATGATATTTGTAAATCTGTTGTTGGACAATTTCCATCAACAGGAAGAGTATGGGGACTATTTGTTATGTTATCTCAAATTGAAGGAATTCAAAAACAAGAAAAATCTCTTGAACTTGCATTGAGAAATGCACCTAAATCTGGAGAGGTATGGTGTGAAGGTGCAAGAATGGCAATGAAACAAGGTAATTTTTATTTGTCATTATTATTTCTCAAATATGCCCAATTATTTACTCCTCAATATGGGGATATTTATATAGAATTTCTCAAATTAGTAATTCTTACTAAACAATGGTCAATGTTAAAGAATATAATTTTGTCATGTGTTCACTCTGAACCAAATTATGGATTGTTATGGACATTTTATAAAGAAGAAGAGACATCACCAATCAAAATATTAAAAAATGCATTTAAAAATCTCAGAAAATCATACCAACAAAATATTTTTATTAATCCATTAGATATTTACAAGAGATGTAAAAAATACCCCCAAAAAACAAGAGTTAGAATGATTCTTGGGTCTGAGCTTTTTAAGGCTTGAATTTATGAAATTGTATTTAATTGTACTATTAGTATTTATAAATTATTTATTGGTTTTATATTGTTGATTTATAAAAAAAGAAAAACAGAAATATTTGAAGTATTACATAATTATCATATCAGAATAGATGTAATCATCTTCAAAAATCATCATCATCTCCTCTTTTTTGTGAGTTTAATAAGAAATTAGTATATGTATTACTATCAAAATAATTATCTGGAATATGTTTTTGTTCAAAGTATGTACTTTTTTCTTCATTTCTTGGAATGATGACTTCAGTCACATAATTTAAGAACAAATCATTATCTATAAAATTAATATTGTTTTGTTAGTTAATAAATTCAAACAAAAACTTTGTTCTAACATTCATAGAATAAAAACAAACTAATAGATGCTGAAAACTTAGAAGAGGTTAACTCTCTATTATTATAAATATCGAACATCAAAGTCGAATTAATAAGATAATAGTCTGGATAATAATGATATTGATGATGAAATTCAATTGCTCTTTTGTCAAATTCAACACTTTTTTCTAAAAATTTATTATCTCTTAATAATTGATATTTAATTTCTGTTACTGGTCTTTGAACAATAGTATTAATAATATCATAAACAATTTGCCTGAAAATAGTACATTGATGTCTTTCATCATAGAAAATATCCAATAAAGATTGGATAAATCCAAATTCATCAACCAATTTATAAATTACAGAATAATTAGATAATAATAATGAAAGAACAATAAAACTAAGTTTAATTTTTGTTTGTCCAACCTGACCATTATTACTTTCTGTTGAAGTTGTTAATAATCGTTTGATACTATCAAAATGTTTAACAAGATTTTTGTATATAGCAGGTAATCCTCCAATAGGTATTGTACATAATTCACTTCTTGAAGTATTTGAGGCTAACATATCACTAATAATTAATAACCCATTTTCTTGAACTGTTTTAATTGTGGTAGAAAATACACAATAAATAAATTGTTCTAAATTTTTATCAATATTAAAGAAATCTACAAAAATATTCGCTGCTGCACCAATTTGATGACTATGACGCCAAATAACAATTTCATCAATAATTCTTGCTGCACTTTCAACTTTATCAATAGAAATATTTTCTTCTAGGAATGAGTTTAATAACATAGTAATAAATCCATGTTCACAAAACCATTGAATACTTCTACTATTCATATGAAAAACATCTAACTTTAACAAAGCTATAATATAATCACAGACACTATAACTTTCCATATATGAAATTAACCCTTCTAAAAATCCATCAACTGCTTGAACTAATACAAACTCCTATTTAATTAATATTTTTCTTTCTTACCAAAAAAAATTACCTTTAAATGGTCCAATAATAATGAAACAAAATTGATTTTGAGTACTTAGCGTTGTTATAAGAAAAGCAACATAGAAACAAACTTTTGATTGAATAGGAATTAATAATGATGAAAGAACTTTACATAACAAATCTAATGTCATTCCTGAAAGTCTTTTATTTTTAATTGTTAATTGTTTTAACATATATAACCCAGTTTGATCATCAAGAAATACTGCATCAACAACACATCCAATCCCTGAAGAAAGTACAGCACCTGATAATATTTGATGTTTTACTTGTCCATGACCACAAACAAAACTAACCATTTTATGTATATTTGCTTGAGAACAAATACTAAAACCAATAAGTGTTTTTGGTGTTCTGAAAAAAAAAAAACAAAATTAAGAAAGAGAAAATAACAAACTATTGTTGAAGGTCATTATTTGTTCTGAGTTCAGTTAAAAGATCAGGTTGGTCAAGAATCTCTTCTAGAGCAGCATTCATACGAACAAGTTGTGTAAAAGGTGATTCACCCAATGGTTTCCAATTAGGTATCAACATACTCATGATCTTGATAATTGATTATAAGTAAATTTTTTTCTTTTTTTTCTCACTTTCTATTTTTCCATCTTTAACTGTTCTTTCAAAATAAAAATCTTGTAATCAAAATATCTTCTTTTAAAGCTAAATAAATTTTATTAAGAAAAAAAAAAATAAATTGTAGTTATAAAAAAAAATTTAATTAAAAACAATATTATGTTAATGATAACTTGATTCAGCCACAAAAATTTATCTTGTTGAATGTGGTGGTATATATGATGAGTTCATTGAAACAATATTCTTAAGTATTTTATTTCTTTCTTCAGATTGTTTTCTAATATTTTCCACTGTTTCTATTAGTTGAGACGCTAAAAGGTCATTAGTTTCATCGGTTTCATCAGAAAATTCATCATCTTCTAAATCGAATACTTCTTCATTATAATCTGACTCTTCTTCCTCTTCTTCCATTGGTATATCACCAATTTCAAGAGTTTGTCCTTGTTGTGTATTTAATGGTTCAGGTGAAAGAGTTTTCAATCGACTGAATAATGTATTTGGTGCAGAAAAGAAATTTTGTGTAACTCGAGGGCAATTCATATTAAGATTCTCAGAAATAAAGAATTGAGGGTGATATGTAAATGATGTGGTGTTCATTTCAATGGTAATTAGTTTAGATGAAAGTTTTACTACCTTTTTGACTCTTCATCTCATTCAGGTAGAACTTCTTTCTAAGTCATTACATGAATATCGAACTTCCACATCATATTGACTTTTCATTTTATGCATTATCATATTTTTTGATTCTTCATCTTTTTATTGATATTTCCTGGTTTTTACGAGACTAAAGCTTAATTTTTCTGAAAGACCTTTTTTGAAGAATAAAGGAATTTTAGAGGTCTGTTGAATTATTTTCAGAAAAGTCATTTTGTTATTTTATTATAGTTTCTTTATATTATAGTTTTGTAATAGTATAACTCTCAAAAATAACAACAGAATAATTTAGATGAATAAAGAATTTTATTAGGTAGTCTTTCTTTCAAGTTTCGGGAACAAAAAGAACGAAGAATAGAATGGAATTTAAAAAGAATAATCTCTATTTTTATAAATATTTCAACAGTATTTTTTTGTCGTTTTACTAAAAAAAGAATTTAAATTTGTTAAAAAAAACACAAAGTTCAATATTATTGTTGTATTAAATAAATAACTAAATTTGAATAACATAAATTATTAAAGTCATTGAGTTATAAAAATTGTTATAAGAGAAAATAATAAATAACAAATAATAAATAACAAATAATAAATAAATGAAATGTATTTGTAGTTAAAATAGTTGTTAGTTTGTATAATTTTTTTTATTAATCTCTAACATTTTAAAGTACATAAAAATTGGTTTAAATAGAGGAGAAAAATTTTTATTTAAAAAGAAATGACATTTACACCAATTTCAATGAGAAATATATAAAATACAAATAAAATGAATTAAAGAAAAAAAAAACTAATGACTTTTATTTAAAATAATTGGAATTATACATTAATTGATAAGAAAAAGAATTATATTATTAAAAAACAACTGATTGTATTTTTTTCTTAACAAAAAAAAACATAAAATAATTTTTAAGAATTGTTTAGTTCATTTTTACACGGAATAAAATGATAAATTAAGACATAATAATTAAGAAGAATTAAAAAAAAAAAAGAAGAAATAAAAAGAAAATACTTTCAATAGTCTTAAAATAGCATTTTCATTTAAGAGTTTGCTTTGATAAAATAATTTGTTTTGAAAGAGTAAAAATATTAGTTCCTACTTGCTAAAAGTATTGAAAAATATAATGAGGAAAGAATAAAAAGAAATACAAATCAAAAAGAAAAACAGAAATAGGCATTTAGAAAGAAAAGAGCTATAATTATATTCAATTAACAAAAATAGTAGAAGGAAAAGAATTATAAAAGAAAGACTAACTGAAGTAATATTAAAAAATGTGCTATTAAAAACGATTTAATAATACTAAGACACTATTGAGAAACAAAAACGTCAATGAAACAAAGTTTCACATTAAAGAAATAAAATTTCTAAAATATTCTTTAGAACAAAAGAGTAGTTTTAAAAATACGTGGAACTTCGTGGAGAAAAAAGAATCAATTTATTTAAAGAGATAATAAACTAGAAATATTCAATAATATTTAATTAATGTCTTGTCCATTTGGTGATAAATGCCCAATTAAACCATTCTTTACTAAAGTATTAGAACAAGCTAAAGATGCTATTCAAGGACCATTTGTTGTTCCAAGTAATGCAGATGAAATTAAATCTACTTATGAAAAAAATATTAAAAAATATAATGAACTTTATTTATTCCTTAATGGTTCATTAGTTTTCATTGGATCACTTTTGGCACATCCTCTTGCTGGAATTTTAGTTCTTGCTGTTTATGTTGCTCTTGTATTTACTTGGGATAAATACATTAGTAAATATGTTGATAAATATTTCAAAGACTTTAAGATTCCTTATAGTACTATTCCAATCCTTCTTTTCCCATTATTCTTCTTCTTTGCTTTACTTGGTGAATGTACAATTGCATTCATTTGCTTCAATATCCTTGCTGTTCTTGTAGTTGTTGCTCATTCTTTCACTCAAAGATTCGGACAAACTGTTGAAAAGAAAAATGCTAAAGAAACACCAGTTGTTTCATCTAAGAAAGAAGAAAAGAAAGAGAAGAAAGAAAAGAAATCAAAATCATCATCTTCCTCTTCATCATCATCATCTGATGAAAAACATTAATTTCAACATTTTGATTTATATTTTTATTTTTTCTTTTAAAGAATAAAAAAAGATAAAGAAAAA